GATTGTACACTCTCCAATGGGGTGAAGTAAGAAAAGGAGCCTAACTGGGCACTGAATAGGAGTTGTGCAACTGGCTTGGTATCAAATAATTTGAGTGCTGCAGCTATATATTGTCCCCCTCTTGACCTGAGATATTTTAGTATAGCAGATGAGCTCCTCTGTGCAATCTCAGCTACATGGACACCATGGGCTTATCTGCTGCTGGGGGAATGGAGGACTATCCCCAGATATTTGAAGCATAGGGCCTGCTTGATTTTATTTCCATCTATCTTCCAGATGTGAAGCTTGTGGCGGAATGAAAATCACGCATAGCTCACAATTTATCAGTCTACACACTGTCTTGCCAGAGAAAGAAAATATGAAGCGAGATCACAAAACTCTCTCTCTGCTCCTGCACAGCTCAAGCCTAAAAATGTAACTGTAGTCAGAACTCCCAGACTCAGCTAGCTCCCCAGGTGTGGCTCAACCAATCAGCATCGTGATTTGCATTTTACAGTTAACACACTCACCAACTGATTTCTTACATGCTCCAACAAAGCTTGGGTCTTTTGGCTTCAACTTATATATGAAGTTGACTTATACATGAGTATAATGATAATATTAAGTCTGTTTAGCAGTGCAATAGTTGACCTGGTGATCTTTCTGTTATAACAGGAACAGATGGAGGAAGGGAGGAATGAAGGAAAGGGAAATTAAGAGAGAAGACATGCAAATAAAGAAGGGTGAAAGAGGGGCAGAGACGTATAAAAAGACCATTATGCATGTCGACACTGGTCTCAACCCAGGGAGTGGGCTCTCAACAGAGACGGCTTGTGTGGTGTGAAGTGCGCACTGAAAGACAGGGAGGACATGCAAAAGGGAATTTCACAAAAGGTCAGCAACTCTGCATTTTATCACCCGGTTTAACCGTGATGCTGAACATATCATATGTAAACCTGGATAAGACTTATCGTGCAGCTACACTGTAAGATTAATGCAGTTTGACACCACTTTAACTATAACTTCAGCCCTCCAGGTGTTTTGGACTTCAGTTCCCACAATTCCTGGTCTCAGGTCCCTTCCTTTTCAAGGAAGCTTGAGCCAGTCAAGGAAGCCTGAGCCTATCATACGGAATCGGAAGTGGTGAAAAATTGCATGATTAGATTGTCAGAAAATTTAAGACGTCCAATACAGATGAAAGAATGGGAACAAAGGAAATAACATCTCCAGGTTATGCAATCACTCACCAGATGCAGACTGGGAGGCGGGGGGGGGGGGGGGGGGGGGGGGTGGCTATGCTTGCCCGAGAAAGTTTTTATCTTAGGGCAGTTCCTGTGCTGAGCATCTCTGGCATTGAAAGTGTTGGCCTGGTGTGGGACTCCTGTGAAAGCATAGCCTTTCTGCTGGTGTACCGTGCACCTAGCGCACCAGCAGACAGCCTATCCCAACTGCTTGAGACTGTTGGAGTGGTCCTTGAGGTTCCCCAGACTTATCGTCTTGGGGGATTTCAATGTCCACGCTGATGCAGACTCTTGTTCATTAGCGGCTGTGGACCTAGTGTCTACCATGGAGACACTAGGACTCTCGCTTTGTAGTACTGGGCCCACGCATCGGGCGGGACACACGCTAGATTTGATTTTCAGCGCAGGAATTCAAGTGACCCAAGCCTCCACAATAGAGGTTCCATGGTCGGATCACTGCGCCCTGAGAGTCCGGTTGGAGCATGCCTACCCATGCTGCAAGGGTGCCAAGCCAATTTGGGCTCGCCCAAGGAGACTTATGGAACCCAGTAGGTTCCGGAATGCTCTGAGGGATCTGGAGCCTGCCAGCGACTTGATCGATGTGCAGGTGGACACATGGAACATCAGGCTATCCAATGCACTCGACGAGATCGCTCCTAGACGCCCTCTCAGACCCCGCCGAAATCGGTTTCCTTGGTTCACCGAGGAACTTCGACTGATGAAGCAGGAAAAGAGACGGCTGGAGGGCGTGTGGCCAGAACGGAGCATCGAGATCAGCTTATGAGGCATTTAGGGAGTCCTATGAGCATGCTATCACCGAGGCAAAGCGAGTATATTATGCTTCTTTGATATCGTCTGCCAGCTCACGCCCGGCAAAATTGTTCAAAATAATTCGATCTCTAACGACGGTTCCTACCGTCTCAAAAAGTGGTGATCAGGCCCCTTCAGCCGAGGTTTTTCAGAGCTACTTTGCAGGCAAGATCTTGCTACTTCGCCGGGACCTCCCCACCACAATTGATACAGTGAGAGAACTTGAGACTCCGTGGCCGCTTGCTGGGCCCATCCTTGACCAGTTCATCCTGCTGGACGCAGGGGCTGTCAATAGGCTCATAACTGCAGCTAGACCGACCACTTGCTCCCTCGATCCATGTCCCTCTTGGTTGGTGAAATCCTGCTTGGAGGGATTACGCGACCCTCTGTTGAAGATTATAAACAGCTCCCTTGAGCAAGGAGTTTTTCCAGAGGATTTAAAAGAGGCGGTGGTCTCTCCCTTGCTGAAGAAACCAGACTTAGATTGTTCGGTTCCCTCCAGTTACCGCCCAGTTTCGAATCTTTCGTTCCTGGGCAAGGTGATTGAGAGGGCAGCAGCGGAGCAGTTGCAGCAACTCCTAGACGACACAGCCGGACTAGATCCCTTCCAGTCCGACTTCCGTGCGGGGCATGGGACAGAGACTGTGCTGGTCTCCATCACAGATCACCTTCGATGCCAGCTTGACCAGGGCGGGTCAGCGCTGCTTGTGTTATTGGATCTCACAGCAGCATTTGACACAGTCGACCACAATCTTTTGACCCACCGCCTTGCTGTTGCTGGAATCAGGGGGACAGCTTTAAACTGGCTGTCCTCCTTTCTTCACAACCGTGGACAGCGAGTGGAGAGGGGAGGCCTGGTCTCTGAGAGGTCCCCTCTATCTTGTGGGGTTCCTCAGGGGGCCATTCTCTCCCCTCTGTTGTTTAACATCTTTATCTCAGCTGGTTCGAGGTTTTGGGCTTGAGTGTTATCAGTACGCTGATGACACTCAGCTGGTGCTGAAGATGGAAGACCGACCGGACTCTGTACCCGATTTTTTCCATCAGTGCCTCGAGGCCGTTACTGGATGGCTGCATACCAGCAGGTTGAGGGTGAATCCAGCAAAGACGGAGATCCTATGGCTGGGTTGACCGGGCAGTGGGGACATCCAGCTGCCTACCCTGGATGGCGAGGCACTACGCCCGTCATCATTGGTAAAGAGTCTGGGAGTCCTTTTGGACCCTCTGCTGACGATGGAGGCCCAGGTCTCCGCCGTTAGCAGAACCGCCTTCTTTCACCTGCGGCAGGCTAGACGGCTGGCCCCCTACCTGTCCAGGGACGACCTAGCTATGGTGATCCAGGCCACGGTCATCTCAAGACTGGACTACTGTAACGCCCTCTACATTGGCCTTCCTCTGTCGGTGATCCGGAAGCTCAAGTTAGTACAAAATGCAGCTGCTCGGCTTCTTGCGGGAATTCCGATGAGATGCCACATAACTCCAATCTTACTACAGCTGCATTGGTTACCAATTGAGCACCGGATCACTTTCAAAGTGATGGTACTCACCTTTAAGGCCTTGCATGGTCTGGGGCCAATGTATCTGAGGGACCGCCTCACCCCCTACCAACCCCAGAGATCCCTCCGTTCTGAGGACCAAGATCTATTGGAAATTCCCAGTGTCAAGACCTTGCGTCTAACAGCAACCAGACACAGAGCCTTCACAGCAGTGGCACCATCACTCTGGAGTACTCTGCCACCTGAAGTCCGTGCCTTGCGGGAATTACCAGCTTTCCGCAGGGCATGTAAGACATACCTGTTTCGACAGGCTTTTAATGTTTGATATTGTTGTTTTTAAATTGTTTTAAATTGCTTTTAAATTTTGTTAGATTTTAGCTATTCTTGTAAGCCGCTCCGAGCCCCAGGGGAGTGGTGGCATATAAGTTTAAATAATAAATAAATAAATAAATGTGGATAAAAAAATCAAAATATACCTATGCTATGGACTTAAAAGAAAATGTTTTAAAGATGTTTCATAGATGGTATATGACCCCTAAAAATTAGGACTTATATATAAAAACATAAGCAAGACTTGTTGGAAATGCCAGGATCATGAGGGCAGCTTTTTCTACATGTGGTGGACTTGTAAAGAAGCCCAAAAATATTGGAAAATGATACACGAGGAGACCCAAAATCTATTAGGAATTAAATTTGAAAAAAAAAAACAGACTATTACCTTCTAGGGCTCACAGACTTTGAATTAAATATAAACAATAAAGATATCTTATTTACATATATTTCTACGGCAACAAGAATCATTTATGCAAAGTTCTGGAAATTAAATAAAATTCCATATAGGGAAGACTAGATAAGTAAACTAAGAGAAATCAGAGACATGGACAAATTAACTTTTTTTTAAAGTCAAATTCGGGAAACCCAATAAGAAAGATGGACTGGACTCTTTTTGAGGTTTACGAAAGAGGTAAAAATACGAAAGTCAATGTCTAGAGAAGTCTATTTTTTTCTTTTTTGGAATAATATATAATAATAGACACATCCTTCCTGGTTAAAACTTTAAAGAAAAAAAAATTAAAATTATTATTAGAAAAGATCTCTCTGTCTCAGGACGTTTATTACTATTATCTCTTCTTTAATTTTCTGTCTTTTCTATAAAATGATTGTTCTCCCACTTTCCATGTAACAAATTCCGTTGATTGTTGTTTTTTTTTAAATTTTTCTATGTTATCTACTCTTATTTCTTATATTTTATTACTATACCAATAAAATGCATTTTTTAAAAAAGGAAGCCTGAGCCTACAAGACCTAAGCAGCTCTGGATAATAGGGATACATAATAGACCTACAGGCTTCTCATTCATGGGATCAAGTCAAAATCTCCATGGTGGACCCTCCCTGTTGTGCTTTGGCATTGGAGACTCTCGCACCTTAAAGAATATTCTTGGGGAGTCCCAAGACAAAAAGGGGTACTGACTGACCTGTAATATTCTTCCTTCCTCCTAAGTCTATTTCCAGCCACTCATTTTCAGAATTCTCATTGGCTGCCCAAGAAGAACCATCGACATCCAAAGCAGCTCGGTTAGGTGTCCATGATCTATCTTCTCCCATGGCGTTTTCTTCTTTCCAGTAGGACGATGCATGGAAGCTGGCGATCTCCAGCCTGCCAGCACAAGCTGCAAAAGGAAGCCAAAATGAGTAGGAAATATTAGTTTCAGCCCCACAACTGCTTTGCTATATTTATTTATTTTATTTCGCGCATTTCTACCCCGCCCTTCTCAAGCCCCAAGGGGGGACTCAGGGCGGCTTACAAAAGGCACAATTCGATGCCAACACAAGCAATAAGATAAAAACATATATCAACAGCAATTATAAAACAATTAAAACAATCAATTATACATCACTATAGGTTATCAAGGCCAACCCTACAATCTGGCAAAGGCAGGCAGCTGTTGTCACTACTTGGCAATACATTTTACTGATTTGATTTTTGTCACTGTATTTTTCCTTCCTTTGAGAGGGGACAAGTTTATGAAAAAAATTCTGCTTCAAGTGCAAGATGAAATGATTAATTCTTGCTACTATATCATAGAATAATAAAGTTGGAAGAGACCACATTGATCATCTAGTCCAACCCCCTGCCATGCAGGAAAAGCACAATCAAAGCACTCCCAACAGATGGCCACCCAGCCTCTGTTTAAACATCTCCAAAGAAGGAGCTTCTACCAGACTCCAAAGCAGAGAATTCCACTACTGAACAGCTCTTCTTACAATCAGGAACTTCAGGTCTCCTGATAAAGGCTAGGACTAGGACTCAATGGAGCCTTGGTTTCCTTCCCTTTATTAGGAGAATAAAAAAGGCAACATTAGCGAAGGGAGGAGAATAAGGCCAAGGGACAGGGGCTAGAGGTGAAGGAGGAAAAAAAAGAAAAGTAGAAAAGAAAATGGATAGTGAACGTTTTTAGAAAGAGTGATGCAGATAAATTGATTATGGTGAATAAGGAGGAAATGGAGAAGAACTTGGTTAAGGAATGGGAACTACCTTTGAACTGTGTGAGAAGAAGGGCTCCATAATTTGGGCTCTGTTAGAATCTTTTCTTGTAATTGTTAGATGATGATTCTTGTGCCAGAGGGAAGAATGGGTGAATGTTTCACTGGGAATGAAAGGTAAGATTGTCTATGAATGAGGAGCAGCTGAGGGAGCTGGGTAGGATCAGCTTGGAGAACAGAAGGTTGAGTGGGGACACAATAGTCACATTTAAATATTTGAAAGGATGTCACATTGAGGAGGGGGAAAGCGTGTTCTCTGCTGTTCTAGAGACGAAGACACAGAATGGTGGGTTCAAATTGCTGGAAAAGGGATTCCACCTTGTACGGAATTTCCTACCAGTTAGGCTGAAAGAAGCCTTGGAAAATAGTCGGTCCAGGGAGTTCGGCAGCCATCTTGGAAAGGGTGCCGGGGGAAATCCATTTTGGTCACTCATTTCCTGAAGGGGGAGTGTTTAGTAAGAGCAGCTTTTGGAGGGAAAGGAGAGAGGGATGTCATTGGCTGAATTAGAGTGGGCGGAGCCTAACTTGACAAAAGAAAAAAATGTCTTTAAAGAGAGGTTTTTAAATCCCTGTCAGGAGATTGAACCTGGGTGTTGAAGGGAGAGGGTGTTTAGGAGATTGGAGTGGAGTAGAGGGTTAGGAGAAGACCTGAGACTGGCCAGAGCTGACTAGCAGGGACAGCTAGTGAGGAGTTTACAGCTATTAGGAAGATAGCTGGGAAGTAGAAAGATAGATCCAGGTTAGGACTATCTGTGCTGGGGAGGATTACTGTCAGATAAACTATCCAGTCAGTATTCTTGTGTGGAGAGAGAAAGAAGAGTTTCTTATGTAACTGTCAGAACTGTTTATGTAACCACACGCTTTCAAGACAAATCTCTGAAACAGCCAAGCTTAATACCTGAATTGTTCCTGTTCTTTTAAAATAAACTTTATTGTTTATTGTTCATTACATCTGACTCAAGTGTGCCTCTGTGCTTAAAGGTTTTAAAAGCAGATTCCTGAAGTATTCAAGAACTTTATGGTGGCAGCGTATGTTTTAAATACCTCAGAAACACAAGCCTGAGTGCTAATACCATCACACTCTTTCACAAGATACCTCAAGTAAGCCAAGGGCTTATCAGCACTTCTAAGTTGGTGGGTGCCAGTGCGCTTTCAAAAAGGGTTTTTCGACCAGGAAGAAAGTGCCAGCTTTCTATCACAGCCTTTTGTTTTTGGAGTTTATTTTATTTCCCAAACAAAGTCACATTACATCCTTTATATATTTTGGCCCTCCGTCTGTTTTGTTATATACCTCATCATTAGGAAGAACATCCTGATTATTAGAGTTGTCTGAGAGTGGAATATGTGGCCAAGTCTCCATCTCTGGAAGTTTTTAAACAGGTTAAAAACAAAAGTCATGCCAGACTCATCTCATCTCTTTTTTGAGTTACAAGCTTGGTAGATGCAGGGAATGCTGTGGATGGAGCAGATCTTGATTTCAGGAAAGCCTTCCTTTGACAAAGTCCCCCGTGACCTCCTTGCCAGCAAACTGGTCTAATGTGGCAAGGCTACTATTAGGTAGATCTGTAATTGGTTCAGCGACCGAACCCAAAGGCTGCTTCTCCCCAATGGTTCCTCCTCTTTATCCTGGAAAGAAGTGACTATTTGGGTGCCATAAAGAGGGTCCAGTCCTGAGCCCAGTTCTGTTCAATGTCTTTATTCATTACTTGGATGAAGAGGGGAGCCTGATCACGTTTGCAGATGGGACTGAATTGGGAGGGAGAGGCATTACTCCAGAGCACAGGATCACGGTTCAAAAATACTTCAACAGATTAGAGAGTGGATTGGTCCAAACTAACACAATGGATTTCAACAACAACAAATGTAAGATATGACACTGAGGCAGAAAAAAACAAAATGAAAAGATGCAGGATGGGTGACACCTGGCTCGACAACAGAGTCACATATGAAAAAAACCTTGGAGTCTTCGTGGGGAACAAGCTGAACATGAGCCAAGAGTGTGATGAGGTGAAAAGGCCAATGGGACTTTGGGCTGCATCCAAAGAATTGTTCAGATTGAAGGAAGTCATGGTGCCATTCTCTTCTGCTTTGGTCAGACCTCACTTGAAGGAATGTGTCCAATTCTGGGCATCACAATTCAAGAGAGATATTGACTCTATGCTGGTTCTGGCCCAGATTACCTGTCCGAACGTATCTCCTGCTATGAACCATCATGAAGCTTAAGATCATAAGGAGAGGTCCTGCTCTCGATCCCACTACTCTCGCAAACACAGTTGGTGGGGACGAGAGACAGGGTCTTCTCAGCAGTGGCCCCCCGTCTGTGGAACTCTCTCCCTAAGGATATCAGGTTGACCACCTCCCTCCTGTCCTTTAGAAGACAACTGAAGACCTGGCTCTGGCGCCAGGCATTCAATTAGAGGCCAGCGGCAATAGGAAAAGGAAATTTGGATTTTGCAATACGGATTCTCCCAGCTCGGCTTAGTTTTACTGGCACGCTAATCTATTAATTTATTGTTAAATTTTAAGGATGATGTAGTATAATATTTTAAAATGATTTTATTGTAAATTGTAATTTTTATTATATTTATGCTGTTAGCATCCTCTGATGCTCATGTGAGTCTGCGCTGAGTCCCCCTTGTGGGGAAAATGACTGTAAGAACAGCTGTTCAGCAGTAGAACTCTATGCCGCGGAGTCTGGTGGAAGCTCCTTCCTTGGAGGCTTTTAAACAGAGGCTGGATGGTGCTTTGAATACAATATTCCTGCTTCTAGGCAGGGGGTTGGACTGGATGGCCCATGAGGTCTCTTCCAACTCTATGATTCTATGGTCATCTGTTTGGGAGGGCTTTAATTGTGCTTTTCCTGCATGGCAGAAGGCGGTTGGACTATATGGTCCACGTGATCTCTTCCAACTCTATAATTCTAGAAGGCCATCTGTCAGGAGTGCTTTAATTGCGTGTTCCTGGATGGCAGGAGGTTGGTCTTTTCCAATTTTAGGATGATGTGAATATTGGGAGGCCCATATGCTTCCCATCCTTGAACTACAATGGATCTTATGACTTGGTTGATCAAATCTTGTACGTCATTTTTGTTAGGGAAAAACTACCCAAAAATATAGAAAAGCATCTAAAAACAGACAGGATACCTATAGCTGAGCAATCAACTCACAGCAAACAGAGTGTGAAGTGGGTTGTTGTAGGGTTTTTTCAGGCTATATGGCCATGTTCTAGAGGCACCCTCAGAGGATGCTTGCCATAGATGCAGGCGAGACATCAGGAGAGAATGCCTCTAGAACATGGCCATATAGCCCGAAAAAACCTACAACAACCCAGTGATTCCAGCCATGAAAGCCTTCGACAATACAGAGTGTGAAGTGCCGTGTGATGTGGCTGTAAAGAATTCAGAGCTTAGGCAGGCAAAGAGTCCTGACTCTAAAAATCACAAAAGGTTTATTTACAGAAAAAGAATAACTACATTTCTTAATAGTAAAGAAACGGGTCTGAGCTACTCTAACACCCATCTCTTCTAAGGTTTCAAAGAGAGAGGGAAAAAACACCAATCACTACATCTCTCCTGACACACATGCAGAGAGAGATCTCAAAGCACACAGCACATACCAAGACTTGGGCAGTGTGCAGATGAATCCCAACAGTTTTTACAGCCTCTTCACTGGTCACAAACTCTTTTCCAAAGAGCTGCACAAATCCTTAAAGCCTAAAATGATCTGGGACCAAGTCAACAACTTTCCAAATCAGGTTGGACTGCATCCACACTGCCCTATTTCCCAGGATGTGATCCCAAATTACCTGTTTTGAACTGGATTATATGGCAGCGTAGACTCATATAATCCAGTTCAAAGTAGATAATCTGGGATCAGATACTAGATTTTATGGCAGTGTAGATCAAGCCATAGTTTGCAGTTTACTTCTCAGGCTAGGAGCTCTCTTCCTGTGCCTATCATTGTTTTTTGCAGGGCCATCCTTTATTTCCACAGGGGTTTTGCTACAAAAGTAAATGCAATCCGTTGATGGTCCCAATGGTATTATTATTCTGTGCTCTTTCAGTAAGGTGATGGACTTGATAATTTGTAGTTATTTTTCGATCGCTGTTTTCAAAACCAAAATCGACACACTGAACGGCATACCTTTGTGAAAGACAATGCGTTTCTCAGATAAAGATCCCCTATATAAAATAAAACAGAAAAAAAACAGAAAAGGTCAAAATATTTGGGACTAATTCTCTCAGGACTAAAATAAATGTGAAATAGAAACTCAAAACTTATTCTTTCTGAATAGAAGTAAAATGTATGGGAGGTTGTTGCCCAACTGAGAAAAGCATGATGCCTGACAGCTTACCTTTTAGAGCAGATTCCATTGGAAAAGGCAGACTCGTAAAGAGTGACTCCCTTCTCTCGCAATATAGTGACCTCTCCTCCCTGCTCATCCGAAATCACACCGGCATGGATGGCAGCTTTGCAGAGAACGGATGTCTACAGAGGGAATATGGAGCAATATGAAGCAAGCAGTGAGTAAAGGGAGAGTGTGCCATTTGTTTGTTTGTTTGTTTGTTTATACGCCATTTTTCTCCCACGGGTGGGATTTTATGCGGCGTATGTACAATGGTTAAAAGCAGCAAAAATTACTTAATGTTAAAAAATCAACAAAAAAAAATCATATACCCAAATGCCTGCCCACCCTGCAAGGGCGCCGAGCCAATTTGGGCTCGCCCAAGGAGACTTATGGAACCCAGTAGGTTCCGGAATGCTCTGAGGGATCTGGAGCCTGCCAGCGACTCGATCGATGTGCAGGTGGACACATGGAACATCAGGCTATCCAATGCACTCGATGAGATCGCCCCTAGACGCCCTCTCCGACCCCGCCAAAATCGGTCTCCTTGGTTCACCGAGGAACTTTGACTGATGAAAAGGACAGTCCAGCCTGGCCAATATGGTTTCAGGCTGAATGGATTATGTAGACCAGGGGTCCTCAAACCGTTTAAACAGAGGGCCGGTTCATGGTCCGTCAGAATGTTGTTCTAGACTATAGTTTGAAAAAACTGTTTATTTTAAATTGTATACTAATGCTTTTATGTCCAGCCATTTTGAGTCCCCTTTGGGGAGATAAAACGGGGTATTATTATTATTATTATTAATAATAATAATAATAATAACGAATTCCTGTGCACATTGGACATCTGTGGCGGAGGCTCCTTTTTTGGAGGCTTTTAAACAGAGGCTGAATGGCCATCTGTCAGTTGGGGAGGCTTTGAATGCGATTTTCCTGCTTCTTGGCAGAATAGGGTTGGACTGGATGGCCTACCAGGATTCTATGATTCTATGATATCTTATTCGTAGTGCAAAAAACCCATGAAAGAACAATACAATATTTAAAATGAAGAGCAATTGTAACCATCATAAACTTACCAGTATTTCAATGGGAAATGGCCTGCATTTCGGCTTATGAGATAGTCAAGTTAATTAGAACTGTTGTTGTTGTTGTGTGCCTTCAAGTCATTTCAGATCTAAGACACCCAGGCCTGGGGAACTGGCCTTGGAAGGCCGCATCAGGCCCACGGGCCTTATTTTGGGGACATCTGATGTAGTCTCGTAGAATCATAGAATAATCCACCCCATTGCTGCTGCAGGTCACACCTTCGAGACCTCTGGAGTCAGTTTGGAGCAGGACAACTGACCTGTGTAGATGACCCCTTTTGTTGTGCACTATGCTAACATTGTATTCACTTCGTAATAAAGAGTCAGAAATTACTTCCCTTCTATATCAATCATTCAAGGACATGAGACATGTTTGAAAGAATAGCTGATGCCGTACAACTTACATCTCGGTAACCTTGGTCCATATTGCCCCAGATGTCTCCTGTTATTCCCTTGCAGCCTGCGGGGCAGTAAGCTCTGCAAAAGAACAAAAAGAACAGGTATTTAAGATCTAGTCGGGGTGCTGTGGTTTTAACTTTGGATATGTTGGATATATTTTTATGAATTTTAACTATGATTTTTTTAGTGTTGTTTGTGTTTAATTCTATTATTATTATTATTATTATTATTATTATTATTATTATATTTGCAGTATTTATACCCTGCCCTTTTCACCCCTAAGGGGACTCAGAGAGGCTTTACAGAACACACACATGTCAAACATTCAATGCCGATTATTCAAAAACAGGACAGACAACACAGCATTGGTAAAGACAATTTTTCCCATCTTTTTTCTGGCACCTTGGAGATTGTGCTTGACTCTGGCCACAAGGAGGTGCTGTCGCTCCATCTTCCATGCCAAGGAGCTTCCCTCCAATCGATGTCCTCAAGGGCGCCTATATTACCTCCCCACTAAAAGTGGCACCTATTTTTATATATTTGCATTTCTGCTTTCGGTCTGCTAGGTGGGCAGGTGAGTTAGGGTTAACAGCGGGTGCTCAACCCTGACCCAGGCTTGAACTGTTGACCTTCCAATCGACAGGATTTTCCGCATCACAGCGGCTTAGCCTGCTGTGCTAAGCGCGGCCCCAGTATTCTGATTTAAAGTTTGTATATTTGTGTATTTTAAATTGTATGCTAATGCTTTTATGTCAAGCCACTTTGAGTCCCCTTTGGGGAGATAAAGCGGGGTATAAATAATTAATAATAATAATAATAATAATAATAATAATAATAATAATAATAATAAGGTGTGCCATGATCAGCCCTGTAGGAAAGGGGACAGGGTGGGGGGAATGAATGAAAGGTGCAACTATTATGTGAGGAACACAAAAATACCAATTTTACCAACCCCAAAAATGGGGGTGTGACTATTACACGGTGGTGGCTATTATGCAAGAAAATACAGTAATCGTCAAATCCAAAGCATGTGCTAAGTCATATTTATTTACTTATTTACTTACTGTATTTGTATACCGCCTTTCTCAGCCCGTAGGCGACACAAGGCAGTTAACAGGGAAAAATTCAATGCCTACAATGTCATAAATACAATTTAAAACATAACATATAATAAAAGCTAAACAAACCAATAAAATATAAATTCATAGTGTCTCCTTGTTAAAAACGTTGTCTGGACTCATTGTCTAGCCGTTTCATTTTCCTATGGTCTGGTTGACACAATAAGTAAATAAATAAATTTTCCTATGTCAGTTACTCTGCATTTGCAAACGCTGCCACATCTTGACTTGTTTCCAGAATGTTAAAAGGGAGGTGGACGATCTAATATTTATAGGGAGGGCGTTCCATAGCCGAGGGGTCACCACTGAGAAGGCCCTGTCTCTCGTCTCTGCCAAACATACTTGTGACGAAGGTTGTAACGAGAGCAGGGTTTCCCCAGATGATCTTAAGGTTCTAGACCAGGGGTCCTCAAACTACGGCCCGCAGGCCACTTCCGACCCGCCAAGGGCACTTATCCGGCCTGCGGAGGAGGAGCGCCCCCCCCCCCACAGTGCTCCTCCCTTGGCAGGCTCACGCTGCCCATCGCGCCCAATGGGCAGCATGAGCCAGCCAAAGGCAGCTGCCCTGCGGGGCCTACTCGCACTTAAAGCACCTCGCGAGGTGCTTTACATGAAAGTAGGCTGCACGGTGCTGCTCCTCCCTTGGCAGGCTCACGCTACCCATCGGGCCCGATGGGCAGCGTGAGCCAGCCAAAGGCATCTGCTCCGCACGGCCTACTCACGTGTAAAGCACCTCGTGAGGTGCTTTACCCGCGAGTAGGCCGCGCGGCGCCGCTCCTCCCTTGGCAGGCTCACGCAGCGATGGGCAGCGTGAGCCAGCCAAGGGAGGCTGCCCCGGCGCTCCATGCAGTCATGCCGGCCACATGACCTTGGAGGTGTCTACGGACAACGCCGGCTCTTTAACTTAGAAATGCAGATGAGCACCACACCCCAGAGTCAGACACGTCTGGACTTCATGTCAGAGGAAAACCTTTAACTAGGAAAATTGTGAAATATCCAGGGTGGGAGAAAGAACTCTTGTCTGTTGGAGGTAGGTATGAATGTTTCAATTGGCCACCTTGATTACGATTTCATAGCCTGACAGTTTTTAGGGAGAATCCTTTGTTGAGAGGTGATTAGCTGGCCCTGATTGTTTCTTGTCTGGAGTTCCCTCTGTTTGAGTGTTGTTCTTTATTTACAGTTATAATTTTAGAGTTTTTTTTAATACTGGTAGCCAGATTTTGTTCAGACTAGAAATAGGAAGATTTCTCATTCTCTGCTCCTGGAATTACTGCCTAAAGAGGGCTAGAAAGAACCCCCTCTAAGGGCCCTTCCACACAGCAAAATAAGATATGTGCAATGTGCATAGGAATTTTTTAATTGATTTTTTTTAAAAAAAAAACTATAGTCCGGCCCTCCAACGGTCTGAGGGACAGTGAAGTGGCCCCCGGTTTAAAAAGTTTGAGGACCCTGTTCTAGACGGTTCATAAGGGGAGATGAATTTGGACATGTAAGTTGGGCCAGAACCATTTAGGGCTTTATAAGCTAAAGCCAGCACTTTTAATTGTGCCCTGTATCATATCTAATACAAACTCCACTAACAACTGATTCCCAAAGTTTGAGCCCAAGTGTTTGTCAACCAAAGCTTGGAAGTAATGAGTTCATAGTAACATTGTTACCTGTAACTATTTACTCTGTGGGATTCAGTGTAAAAAATGTTTAATTTTAAAAGCAAACTGAATATAAGAGCATAATTACTTCTCTGGTAATTCTAGTTAATTTTCAAAGCAATATCAGAGGCATTTTTTCATGAACCTCTTATTTTCCAAATCTCAATTGGGAAAGTAACAAGCAATGAGACAAGTAACAAGACAATGTAACTTTTTCACCAGCACAATGATTAACAGAAATAGAAGTAATGACTGGAGATACAATATTGTGTGGGTTATTGGTTGCAGAAAGAGGAGCTCCATCATAGTTCTGAGGAAATGAGAGTCTCAAAGGAAGCACTCACCTGATTATCTTCTTGTCATAATGGATTCCCTTCTGTAAACATGAGATCAGATCTAAAAAAAAGAAGGTGAAAGTCCCACAGTAGGTAGGGGAAGGTATCCTATAGGGCTTCTAGCTGATTGTAAATACACGGTCAGCATACAACGGCTACAATATCCCACTCCTCGATCTAGATCTGCACATAGATGCTGGGATTGTACAATTCAGTTAATCAACCTCCTTCCAGTCTGTAAGTTTTGCAAGGGAACAGGCCAGACCCCTGTGTTTTCCTGTATTCACTCGAGTCTCATACACTATCAAATCTAATGCACACCTCAATTTTCAAAACTCTGAAACTAAAAAAAGTACTGTATATACTTCAGTATAAGCCTAGTTTTTCAGCCCCTTTTTTAGGCTAAAAAAGTTCTTCTAGGCTTATACTCGAGTCAAGGTTATTTATTATTTTACTCTGTTATTAGTATTATTTTTATTACATTTATTATTTTACTCTATTAAATTAAATTTATTAAATTTCCATTATTTACTCTATTATTATTATTATTATTATTATTATTATTATTATTACATTTATTATTTTACTCTCTTTATTATTATTGGAAGGAAATGTAAGCACATTGACATTGAAGAAGATTAGAATAATGGTTTCATCACAGTTGGATAGTCTTATCTTAAATTACAATTTTATATAAATACACAAAAACATTTAACCTACTGATGAATTTCAGTAGCAGCTGCATTTTTCACCCTCGGCTTATACTCAAGTCAATACATTTTCCAAGTTTCTTGTGGTAAAATTAGGTGCCTCGGCTTATATTTGGGTCGGCTTAGACTCGAGTATATACGGTATTTGCTGGTGAATGTCATGTGCAGCAGACAAGGCGTGCTCTTTGTAATATGCCCATTACAGTTGCTGCCTGCTTAGAATTGCTTCTTTAAAAACAATTGTGTTAGAGCACCAAAGCTTTCTTCAGCAATGGGAAAGAAACCTTGAGGTGCATCTGTGCTGTAGAATGAATCCACTTTAACTGCCTTGGTTCAATGCTATGGGGTCACAGGGGCTGTAGTTTTACAAGGCCTTGGACCTTCTCTGCCAAAGAGTGCAGATAATAATAACAGATGCCATAGATGCAGGTGAAACATCAGGAGAAAATGCTTCTAGAACATGTCCATATAGCCCGAAAAACCTACAACAACCCAGTGATTCCAGCCATGAAAGCCTTGAAGAAGGTTGCTACTTCCAACAAAACATTTAGTGGGGTTTCAAAATAAACTTTTGCTTTGCTGCTGAAAAGGTTTGAGAACTCTTGCTCTAACTACTATATCACATCGGATCAATTTCCTCCCTCCCTTAATTATTCTCATTGGGTGCAATAGGTGTCCCTTTCCTACCTGACTGATTGCCACTAGCATAGGAAATCAAAAATCCACGCCCGGAACGATGCACCGTGCTGTTGAACAAGACGGTTAGGGGATCCATCACCAAGACTTTGTGGGGTGGATGTGAGTTGCTACAGTATGGGCCTTGATTGACAGAGAGAGAAAGACAGAGAAAAGGATGTATTCATTAGTTACATTACTATTCTGGCTTTCATCCAATGAGCTCTGGTATGAGAGGATTCTTTCTCCCATTTTATAATAATCTATATAAATAAAAATGTAATGTTCGTTTGTGCTATCCACAGAACTCAAAAACCCCTGGATGAATTGGCACCAAATTTGGACACGATACACCTAACAACCCAATGTATGTTCTCCACTCAAAACCCCCCAAAAAAATTTAACCGGAAAGTCCTTAAACCCCCCAAGCCTAAATAAGTATACCAAGCATGCGTTCAAAGAACACCCTCCTCGCCCCACCCCTCTCCTGCACGAGGGAGAAAAAACCAAAAGCAGAGAGAGAGAGAGGGGGGGGGGAAGGGAGAACCAGTAGAGAGAATAAAGGAAAGGGCCCATGGATCCCTTTCGGTAGCCCTGCTTCTCCCCTCCCAAACACTTCTGTGTCAGGAGCCGGTTTCCAGGCCTTGGGTTTTGGCGCTAAAAACCAGGATCCTGATATTCCACTCTGATAAGAACTGTGCAGCTGGTGACCTCGGGAAGAGCAGTTAACATTGAGCGGGAATGTTGTGCGGGATCCTTGGCTGGCGGGAAAGGGAAGTTCAATTGTGGGGGTGGGTATATAAGGGTTGACTGGAGGCTGCCAGTCAATCCTGGCTTTCTTTGTGTCTGAACGTCCAGCAGTAAAAGTTTCTGATTGATTACGGATTGGAGTCCTGTGTCGTTATTGGGAACGGCTGTTGTGAGCTGACATTAAGCCAGGATTCCTCAGCACCATCCCGCGGCTGCGGTGAGGTGTCTTTATGGAGCAAGAAGAGAATCCAGCGGCAGGGGGAGAGCCAGACTCCCCTTTCGAGAATGCGGAGGAGGAACTGGAGAAATTAGCTGCCTTGGCTTCATCGACTGCTTATGCCCGGCCCAACGGAGTGACCCAGAGGCGAGCGAAGGGGGCAGAGGCAGCAGCGAGAGAGAGCAGTGGGCTAAAATTCCCCTCCCCGCAGAGGATGGAGTACCTAGAGGAAAAGGTGGCAGCCATGGAGACCACCCTTGCAGTGATGTCAAGATTGATGGAGCGTCTGGCTCCCCTGGTAGAAGACCCCCGACTCCGGGGGGAGTTGATGTGGAGTACGGAGGAGAGGAGCGGCCGAGGACCCGGAGCATGGCCTAAGATGCAGGCGAGTTGGAGAACTGGGGCGGAGAGTGACGAGGAGGAAAGACAACCACAGGGCCTTGCGCTGACATCCCAGCAGATGCTCCTGGTGCCCCCAGCTGGAGCCAGGTGCAGCACAGGGTGGCGAGGATTGCCAGCAAAGGCTCCAGGGAGGGCCACCGTGAGCGGAGAGCTGGGAAGCACAACCTCCCTTCTACCAACAGAGAAGGGAGGAACTGAGAGTGTAATTTGGAGGCGAGGCTGGGAACCTCGATTTTTTTCTGACCATGGTGAGAGGCTACCTGGAGGACAACGCACTTACCTTTAGGTCAGAGGCCAGCAGAGTGCGGGCAGTGGGCGCAGCACTGAGGAGAGGAGCGGTTGAATGGTATGTCCAGCTCCACGCCAGGCATGACCCATGCCTGGGATCCACGAGACGGTTCCTAGCAGCAATGGAAGTGCGTTTCCGAGACCCGCTTGAGAGGATCAGAGCGAGACAAAAGTTGCAGACTGTGACCCAAGGCCAGTGATCCTTGTCCGAATATGTGGAAGAATTCCAACTGTTGGCAGAAAAGGTCCCGGAGTGGTCCAGCGTCAGGAAGGTCCAAATATTTAAGGAGGGTCTACGGAAGGAAATTTTATCCTGGGCGCTCCATCGTGATGACCCGGAGACGATCGGTGGATGGATTGAGCTGGCTGGCCGCATCGAGACGACGTTGTCCCACGTCAGGAGGCATCGGGGAGTAGCACCGCAGCAAGCAAGAGCCAAGGAGGAGAGTCGGAGGACGGAGAGAGGCACAACCGGGAAGGAGCCAGTCGAAGGATCCAAGGGGCAGAGAAGCGGATGCTTTGTATGCGGTTGTTTGGGGCATCGGGCTGCGAGTTGTTGGCAGCACAAAGGGGCGGAACCCCCTCAGCCCAAACCAAAACCGGCTGCTGGGATGAGAGCAGAAGAGAGCATCCCTCATAGGGCCCCAGTGAGGGATTTTGTGAGTCACAGCCCAGGAATGCTGGTATTCCCAATAAGGCTAGAAGGGGGGAGTAAGTGGGCTAGTTGCAAAGCCCTCCTGGATTGCGGATGCTCCAGGAATATCATGGCCCCAGAGTTAGCAGACGAGCTGAAATGTGAGAAGATAGCCTTACCAGCCCCCATAACATTTTCCCAGCTGGATGGGTCTATGGCAGCCGGGGCTCCGGCGCAATTCGAGGTAGAGAAGGTGCAGTGCAAGATAGGGAGTTGGGAAGGGGGCATAACATTTGTGGAATCCCCAATGGCGACCTATAATGTGATATTGGGAATGCCGTGGTTGAGGGTAACGAACCCGCATGTCAATTGGAGGAAGGGCAGCCTGAATTTCCGAGAAATGCCCAAGGGAGAGTGCTGCAAAGGGGAGGAAACTGTGACAGATTGGGTGCAGGAGATCCCTCCTGAATATCGAGACTTTGCAGACGTGTTTGATGAGAAGGAGGCAGATCAACGTCCCCCTCCGAGAAGGGTGGAGGTAAAGATTGAACTCAATAAAGACGCTAACCTGCCTAGGAGTAGATTATACCCTATGTCGGCGAAAGAGATGGAGGAGCTGAGGAAGTACATAGATAAAAACTTAGCCCGAGGGTTCACAGAACCATCTGAATCCCCGTTAGGGGCCCCTGTGCTATTTAGGCACAAGAAGGACGGCTCCCTGAGATTGTGTGTGGACTATAGGGGGCTGAACGCAGTGAGCACAACCAACAATTACCCATTGCCTCTAACCAAGGACTTGTTATCGAGACTGTCAGAGGCACGGGTGTTCACAAAAATTGACCTAATCGAGGCCTACCACAAGCTACGAATATGGCCTGAGGACAGGTGGAAAACTGCATTCTCCTGCGCGCTGGGGCACTTTGAGTACTCCGTGTGTCCTTTCGGACTAAAAGGCTCGGGAGGGGCATTTATGCAAATGATCAACGAGGTGCTGCATCCATTGTTGCACCGCGGGGTATATTGTTTTGTGGATGATGTGATAATATTCAGTCGAGATAGACGATCCCACGTCAAATTGGTAAGGGAAGTGCTCCAGAAACTGAGGGAGGCATGACTGTTTGCAAAGTTGCCCAAATGCAAATTCAATAAGGAACAAATCGATTTCCTTGGGTACAGGATCTCCCAGGGAGGGGTGGCAATGGACCCTTCTAAGGTAGAGGATGTGAAAGGGTGGGAGCCTCCTAAGACACGCAAGCAGCTGCAGTCGTTCCTGGGGTTTGCGAACTTTTATCGGGCATTTATAGAGGATTTCACCCAGCTGACACTACCTCTCACCGAGTTGCTGAAAACAAAAGGGAGGGGGGAGACGGTCAAGGTGCAATCTCCCGGGGCAAGGTTCAATTGGTCAACAGAATGCCAAAGGGCGTTCGAGGAATTGAAATGCAGGTTCACAGAAGAGCCTATCTTGGTCCACCCTGACCTGACCAAGCGATTCGTGATCCATTGTGACGCGTCAGACTGGGCATATGGGGATGCATTGATGCAAACGGATTCGGAGGGGAGGTTGAAGCCATGTGGGTTCATATCTAAGAAGTTCAGCGAAGCTGAACGAAACTGGCCAGTGTGGGAAAAGGAAGCACTGTCGATATTGAAGGCTTTAGAGACGTGGAGACATTTATTAGAGGGAAGCAGCATACCCTTTGAGGTATGGACCGACCATAAAAACCTACAATACATCACTTCACCCAGGAAGTTGTCAGCAAAACAAATAAGATGGGCTCAATTCTTCAGCAGATTCGATTTTCACCTAAAGTTCCACAAAGGGAAGAAAAACATCATAGCGGATGCGCTGTCGCGTATTCCCGAGGATGAAGGTGGGAGGAAAGACCAAAGGGGGAGTGTGTTCACAGAACGGCAGTGGGGTATGGCGGTGCAAACCAGAGCACAGGCGGAACGCAGCCAGAGGCTTGTGGGAGTAGAAAGCAAAGATGGGGGATGGGAGGAGGAGATAAAGCAAGAGTACAAGGAGGATGAGTGGCTGGAGAGAAACAAGGAAAAAGTGGAATGGAAGGGTGGATTGGGATTTGTGAACCGGAAGGTGTATATCCCAGGGAGCCTGGGGGGAAAAATGATGATAAGATGTCACGACAGTAAAGGGGCAGGCCATTTGGGGGTCACCAAGACCCTGAAGTTACTGGCGCGGCAATGTTGGTGGCCCGGGATGAGGGGCGACACAAAATTGTATGTATCCAAATGTGACACATGTGCGAGGATCAAGGTGCCCACTCAAAAGCCGGCCGAGTTGTTGCAGAGGGTGGCAGAACCATCAAGGCCATGGAGTGTGATCGCCATGGATTTTGTGGGTGAACTTCCTAGTAGCCGGGGCCAACGTTACATCTGGACAGTGCTGGATTTATTTTCAAAACAGGCGCATTTCATGGCACTGCCCAAGCTACCATCCGCAGAAAAGTTAGCCGACCTTTTCATAAAACATGTATATCGGCTACATGGGTGTCCTGATCAGGTCATAAGCGACCGAGGTGTGCAGTTTACAGCAAAATTCTGGGAGAAATTCATGCAGTTGCTAGGAGTAGAAAGGACCCTAAGCTCGGCATTCCATCCCATGACAAACGGAGGGGTCGAGCGCATGCAACAAACGTTGGGGTTGTTCCTAAGGACTTACACAAATCATTGTCAGAGCGACTGGGCAGATCTTCTCCCATATGCAGAAATCGCGTACAATGGGGCCTATCATGCATCAACCGGGAAGTCCCCGTTCGAAATAGTGTATGGCAGAGAGATAGCCCCTTTGCCGAAACTGCCAAGTTGGGAGGAGGAAGAAACTTGGGGAAAGGAGGGATGGCCAAATAAGGTAAAAGCCAGTTGGGAGGAGGTGGTGAAATCGCTCCGGGAAGCCCAACGGAAGTATAAGTTATTCGCGGATCGTAAAAGAAGGGAGGGGGACAAGTTGGAGGAGGGGGATTTGGTCTGGCTGAGCACCAAAAATCTCAAGCTGGATGCCCCATCCAGGAAACTATCCCCACGGTATATTGGCCCATTTAGAATATCCAACAAAATAAATGATGTCACGTATAAATTGCAGCTGCCAAAGGTTTTGGGGAAGGTACATACAACATTCCATTGCAGCTTATTGAAAAAGTACCAAGGGTCGCTAGATGAAGAAGGAATGTAGTAGTGACATGTATTTCCTTTCCAGGAAGAAGAAGAGGAGGAGGACATCATGTCAGGAGCCGGTTTCCAGGCCTTGGGTTTTGGCGCTAAAAACCAGGACCCTGACATTCCACTCTGATAAGAACTGTGCAGCTGGTGACCTCGGGAAGAGCAGTTAACATTGAGCGGGAATGTTGCGCGGGATTCTTGGCTGGTGGGAAAGGGAAGTTCAATTGTGGGGGTGGGTATATAAGGGTTGACTGGAGGCTGCCAGTCAATCCTGGCTTTCTTTGTGTCTGAATGTCCAGCAGTAAAAGTTTCTGATTGATTACGGATTGGAGTCCTGTGTCGTTATTGGGAACGGCTGTTGTGAGCTGACACTTCTGGTCTAAAGGATTTCACCTCCTTCTTGCCAGCGAGAGAGAAAGAGAGGCAGCATCCTCCTCCTCACGCCTAGAGCTCTTCCTCATGGAGATGCTGTCTGCTTCCTTTCTTCCCTTCTCCCATTGCATTTCTCCTTGGGCAAAGCCTGACCAGAGAGAGAGAGAGGGAGGGAGGGAGGGAGGGAGGGAGGGAGGGAGGGAGAAAGAAAGGACTGAGGGGGGGGGGGGGCACCGTCCTCCTGATCCACCCCTCCCTTTCCTTTCCTTTCTCTTCCCTCATGTTTTCCTGACTGAAACTCGGGGCTCTGGGCCGGAAGCATGGAGGCGCCTCCTCTGGGCTGCTGGGAACTTTTGGGGGAGGAATTCTGTGTAGCTCTGTGTGTATGTGCACACACACACACATACCTCTACACACTTCAGCTCCCAGAAAGCTCACCCATATTGAGTTATGGGAAGGGATTCTGGAAAATGAAGTTCAATACTCAAAGAAAAGACAAAAACAGGAAACGCTGTCCAGGAAGGAACAATCAAAGAACTCCCGACAGATGGCCATCCATTTTTACTTTATAGCAACCCTGGGCTACAATATCTACAATAATAATATATATCAGTCTTTAATAATAATATCTATGTCTGTAATGATAATATCTAGAGGGGGCACCTCTATTATAACAATAATATCTACATGTCTATAATAATATCTGCATGTCTGTAATAATAATATCTAGGTGCCTATAATAATATCTGTAGGTCTATAATAAGATCTGTCTGTCAATAATATCTATATCTATAATAATAATAATACCTATATGCCTATAATAATAAAATATATATACCTCTGTAATAATAATAGCAATATCATATCAATAATAATAATTTCTATATGCCTATAAGAATCTATGTCAATACTAATAAAAATATCTATACCTCTGTAAAAAAAATTCATATCCACAGTGAAATAAGAAACTGCAAGTCGCTTCTGGTGTGAGAGAATTGCCCGTCTGCAAGGACGTTGCCCAGGGGACATTGCCTGGATGTTTTGATGTTTTCCCATCCTTGTGGGAGGCTTCTCTTATGTCCCCGCTTGGGGAGCTGGAGCTGACAGAGGGAGCTCATCTCCACTCTCCCCAGATTCAAGCCTGCGACCTGTCGGTCTTCAGTCCTGCTGGCACAAGGGTTTAAACCATTGCGCCACCGGGGGCTCCACCTCTGTAATAATAACAGCTATATCATATCTATAATAATAATAATAATAATAATAATAACAACAACTAGATATAATATCTATAGGTCTGTAATAATAATATCCATACATCTGTAATAATAATACCTGTATATCTATACTTCTATAATAATAATAATACCTATATGCCGTTAATAATAATATCTGTGACTATAATAATAATATCTATACATCTATAAAAATAATACCTATGTAATATCTTTGAACTGGGTTATATGGCAGTGTGGACTCAGGTAACCCAGGGCCCTTCCACACATCCATATAACCCTTTGGCCACGAGGAGACTGAAATGGGCCTATACTAGGTTGACACTTTGCCACTTCAGTTGTGCATTGATAGCTTAGAAACCAGCTCTTCCTCTTTTCTTTATTTCCCATTTCTCCACAATGGGCCACAGCAACGCGTGGCCGGGTACAGCTAGTAATAATAATAAAACTTTATTTATATCCTGCCACCATCTCCCCAAGGGACTTGGAGCAGCTTACACGAGGCCAAGCACAACAACAAATCAATAAAAACAACAGGGAATAAGCAAAATAAACAATACAATTAATATAACTCACACATAGACAATAACACACAAGAATTTAAAAACCTATGGCCAGGCCAGTTGTAATAGTTAGAACTTTAAAAAAATAAATGCTGGACATGAACAGAGGATGTATCTAGTAGGAGGGTTTTAAATGAAAAGTAAAGAGCAGCCCAATGGGTAATTAAAGTGCTTCTCAGGATATTTTGCAGATAATTGTTTCCTTTATTCAGGGAAGGCACTCTGGAACAGCCACGTTTTCAGGCTCCTCCTAAAGACTGCCAATGTGGGGGCTTGTCTGATATCCTTGGAGAGTGAGTTCCAGAGTCGGAGGGCCACCATAGAGAAGGCCTTTGTTCCCACCAATCGCGCCTGCGAAGGAGGTGGGAGCGAGAGCAGGGCCTCCCCAGATTATCGAAGAGATCGCGTGGGTTCGTATACAGAAATGCGGTCACGCAGGTTGCTCTCACAACAACAACCCTGCAAGGAAAATCAAGGGGCAGCAGAAATAGCAGCGCAAAAGAAGGCAACCACCGCAAGCACCTTGCCACAATGGCAGTCCTTAGTTCAATGAATAAAAGTGCTATCTTCACTCAGAAAAAGGCACCCATGGTCCTTGGAGATAAAGATGGCTGGAATCACACTTCTTCCCAACCTGGTGTCATTCAGGTGTATTGGATTTTAATCCCCTTGTACCAGCATCAATGGGAAAAAGGTTGGTCTTTAAGACATTTTGGCCACCCATGCTCCCAGTGAATCATTTCCAATGACCTCCCTCCCTCCCAGCCATGGAGTGGATTCAACCCTTCTCCTTTGCTGCTGGTGAAAGCAAACAGAAGGAAATGCAGTTGGAAAGGCTTCTTGCTCACATTATATTCTTTTTGTTTTTACTGACAGATCATCGTGGCCTATGACACATCATAATTGCAAACCGGATGTTAGATCAGCCCTGCGAACACCTCTGGAATGTTCCACTGCAAGACTATATTGTAAGGGGATGCATGGAATATTTGCAATCCCACAACCACAGCTCTAGTATAGATGTGTCCTTTGAAAGCTGTGGTTTTGAGATTGCAAATATCCCATGCACCCCCCCTCCCCCAACAACAGGGAACTATAATGCAGCTTCTGACTGGTTTGGGATGAATAATAATAATAATAATAATAATAATAATAATAATAATAATACCTTTATTTTTACTCCGCTAACATCTCCCGAAGGACTCAGCTTACAAGAGGCCGAGGCCCAACACATCAATAAAACAACAGCATAACAAAAAAAACAATAAATAAACTCATAAAACAATCAATAAACATTAAAACAATAGCAATAAACATTAGACAATGACGCCATGATGCATTAAAAACTAAGGCCGGGCCAAATGTAATGATTAAAATTTAAAAAATGCTGAGCATGACCGGTGAGATGGATTGGTTTTTGGAGATAGGTGCGGTGTGCAGACAATCTTAAATCTCTAGTAAAGTGCATTTGGGATACGATGCTAGGAGATTCCTATTCTGGGAAGGCACACTGGAACAACCATGTCTTCAAACTCTTCCTAAAGACTGCCAATGTTGGGGCTTGTCTGATGTCCTTGGGGAGAGAGTTCCAGATTCGGGGGGCCACCACGGAAAAGGTCCTGTCCCTCGTCCCCACCAATTGCGCTTGCGACGCAGGTGAGATCGTGAGCAGGACCTCTCCAGATGATCGAACCAGTTCCACTGAGCAAGTGATTAGATCGACAGATCTGGAACTGGTTTGAAGCTGGGAGAGGATTCTCTGGACCGCTTCCATCTTGTCCATCTCCTTCTTAAATGCCCAGAATTGGACACAATGTTATTCCAGTTGAGGTCTGACCAAAGTAGGATAGAGTGGGTTATTTCCCTTGATCTCAACACTATGTTCCTATATATACACTTCATATACACTCCACTTACCTCACTGCCAAAAGAACTTCTGAGTATGCCATTAGCCACAGATGTAGGCAAAATGTTAGGAAAGAATGCTGCTAGAAAAATCACAGCAACCCTATGCTCCTATTGATGCAGCTTAGAATTGCATTGGCTTTTTAGTTGCTGCACCACACAGTTGACTCACTGCAGAGAAAACATGGTGTAATCCTGTGATGCTTCAATCAGGATAAGTAAGTAAGTCAGGATAGCCTTACCAAAGCTGGAACCATCCAATGGAGAAGAAAGCAGTAAGAAGCCAGATCTGCATTGTTCTGAAGCTTCAATATCCACATCACCAAAAGCCAAACTGAGTCGCCGTCCTCCAGCCCCATGAATCTTCCACTTGCAGGATGTGAAGTTTGGGTAAGTGTTGGGATAGTTCTTGGAGGTCAAGGTCCCACTGGACGGTGTCAGCACAGAGTGGCCACAGCCATCCCCTGCAAAGTAAGGAGAGATCATCATCAGACGGTGGCATCGTTGACATTATTTTTAACCACAGGAATCTTACTTGTCACTTACTAGTGTTTCGAGAATGCCTCAACTAGCATGGCTTCTGCCTGGAAGATTCTATGAATTATACTTTTCAGACTGAATTAAGATAAGTGGGCATTCGGTTAGAAGGGTTTGGGGTCATTTAAATGGGACTAAATGGTATCAACATGTATGATTAACTAAAAGTCTGGTCTGTTATACTTTACCTTTCCCCTTTATTAATAAGCATCTTTGCATGTCATCAAATCGGTTTTTCTGATTTGCACATACATTATATATACACATACACACATGCACATATTCCTGGATCTACACAGGCTCAATAATGCAACACCTTATGGACTTGTTGTTGTTGATTAGCATTATGTTTATTTATATGCATACACATACACACATATATTCCTGGATCTACACAGGCTCAATAATGCAATACCTAAAGGCTTCCTTCTTGTTCTTGCTGTTGTTATGGTTATTGTTGTTATTGTTTAACCTTATGTTTATTTACATACATACATACATACATACATATACACACATACACATATTCCTGGATCTACATGCTCAATAATGCAACACCTTCTGGACTTGTTGTTGTTGTTATTGTTGTTATGATTTTCTTCTTATTGTTATTATTATCATTCTTTAACCCTGCTTTTTCTCTCTACAAACGAGACTCGTAGCAGTGTACAACCAATTTGATACATTTGAATCCCCAAATATGTAAACATTAAAATAGAATTAAACCTTAACGTTATTAAGAATGAACAGTTAAAATCACAGAGACAGGGAGATGCTGAAACATAAATACCTAGGACTGAAGATTAGGATTGTTCATGAAGTTACCATACATCCAGAGAACCACTGACCACATAGGGAAGCTGATGAAAAAACACAACCTATAAATAATCCACAGACCCACTGTTGTTGAGCAGGGGAACCCTCCCCCCAGGTCAAAATATTATATTACTAAACTTGGCACTGCAGCGGAGAGTTCTGCAGGTAGAGGGGGCCTGAAATTCCACAGATTGGCCTTATGGATGTATGGGGAAGCCCAGCAGCAGCTACCAGTGCCGAGGAGACTTCTTGACAACCATCTTCCCCCTTTTTACTAGTTATATAGTCTCTAACCCTAAATAAACATAGTTACCCTATATCTCTGCTTCTCTGAGTCTCCTTTCACTCTCTGAGTCTTGTTCTCACCTACTTCCACATTCTACAGCCGGCCCAGTGGCCGCTTGGGCCACATGGCCCTCTCGGCCCCCATGTCCCTGGGAGCAGAACTGTAATTCCCATTTCCCTTGCACACTTCATACACACCCTTCAGCTGATATAGTCCCAAAGTTGTAAATTAATGATAGACGTCATCCACCCTGGCTCCATCTCAGTTTCCTTGCCAGATATTTATTGACTCTTCTTGATTGCTGTTACCCTTATGTTGACTTCCTTCTTAACATTGTAAATATTTCTCTTATCACTGTCACAGTTCTTATCACAGTTTACTATTTCAGCTCTCATTAGCAACTTTTAATTACAGTCCAGCAAGCAGGTAGTTAGTCATTGCAGGCCTTAATCTTTTAGAATGGAGTCTCCAAAATTATTAGCTCTTATTAATTCATTATTCCATATAATTTCATTCATATCCACACATATTAAATCCACATTTATCAAATCTGCATATTACATTTCTTGTGACATGTATCTGTGCACATGTGTACGTGTGACCGGACTGTCATTATTAACTTGGTTGGGAATTTGATTATATGGAATGTCTCTGATGAGAAAGAACATTTCTGCCTCTTCTTTTTAGCAAATTGTAATCACTACAATATTCTTTAGTTGGGAGAAGGCCATTTACGGGGATTGGTTTTAGGTGATGAGCACCCTGTACTGATTGAAGATACAGATGAATAAGATTATGTCTTATTAGAGTTTAATCAAGTGTTTGGAGAAGGATAATCTACGTAGCCAATACAGTGCCCAAAGATTTTCTTCTACAATTTTATTTGTTGCTGGTTTAGACACTTCCTTCTTATCTCAATCACATGGAATGTTTTTTTTCCTCCTAAGCAAATGCACGGAGACTTAAAATCCAGTAAAAAGAATTTGTTTTGCTTGTGCGCAACAAGAATTGCACGATGGATGGGGATTAGTAGTAGAAAAGCACTCATAGGAAAAGCAGAGCAAATAATGCGGAGAAATGGAGCATGAGAGGCTTTCGACTGGTTCTGCTCTGATAGATCTTGGTAAAGCTGGAGAACTAGAACTAGATGGCGGATATAACGAATATGAAATATCAATCCCGCCACTGGCACCAATTATAAAGTATATACTATAATATATATCCCACAGCTGAACACCACTGTAAAGGATTATATGTAATATCACACCACTGGACACCAGTAAGAAGGAAAATATCACAACCAGTGACGCGAGGCTGGAGGCTTATTGATAATACGTCTGGGCAGGATGATTCTTCTCCCAAAGATCCACTTTTTCCTCAAAAATCCTACCCCTGTGCCTCCAATATGGTAGCGAGATGTAGACAGATATGTGTAATGATAGAGTGAACACTGTTTGCCTTTTAGTCTTCTTTTGAATTAAAGCTGCCACCAACCCAAGTTATCTTAGGATTTTTAAAATGAGTTTTTGAGGTAAACTTTTTCTACTTCTTCCAACACTGCTCTTCCCCTAGCTCCCAGAATGCCTATTTGATAAGAGTACTTTCTGTAGTATCAGGATGTTAAAGATGCTGGAATTATCACAAAGGATTAATGATAGACTGAGGAACAATAGAGACCTTTTTGAAAGTTAAATAGAAAAAGATTTATTTATAAAAACAGACAACTACTTCTGAGAGGTACAAAACACTTGACTTGGCACAAAAATACTACAGCTTGATGGTTGCTAGAATGAGTTTCTTCACTTAGTTACAGTCAGAGCTAATCAAACAGATCTAGCTGGTAGTAACAAAAATCCCTCACTCTACTTCAGAGAAATAGTAATGAGTTTCTGACTAACCTATCCTAGGTACTCCCCTGAGTTGTCAGCTAACTCTTCCCAGAGTTCTTCCTGCTAACTAACTCAACCTAGAGAGCTAATCTCTTGTGCTATCTCCCACAAGAAATCAGGTTGCTGCCTGACCTTTCCTGTCAGCTAAACAACCCCTGTCTGACACAGACTCTCTCTCTCTCTGAAAACTCAGTTTCAAAAACACTTCTTCTCACACCAGCTCCAAATACTCAACTCCACAGAAGCTGAAATCTTTTTCCCTCCTAAGACTTGGCTCCTCCCATCTGCTCTAGCCAATCCCAGGAGACCTCAAACTCAGGGGCGGCTCGTCCATTATGCAAAGTAAGCGGTCGCAGAACACTTTTTTTTGCCAGGGGCACAGAGGCGCCTCTCTAAATGCCCCTCGACCGCCACTTGAGGAGTGCCCCCTCAGCTCACAACAGCCCTAGCAGTCCGGGGGGAGCCTCGGCTTTCTTGCCTCGCTGCCAGGCGATCCTCTTCCCAAAGGGGCCGGGTCCTTGAGCCTCGCCTAGCCCTTCTCATTCCTGCTCCACCCGGCCACCGGGTGCGTGAGCAGAGCCGGCGCTCAATCGTTCTCCGCGTTCGATCCCTTCCCCATGACCGGCTCCCTTTCCCGATCCCCCGGCGCTCCACCCGCCTCCTCTCCTCTCCCCAATCCACGGGTGGGCCAAGGGGCGGAGCCGCCGCGTCTGGGCCAAGGGGCGGAGGCGTGTCTGAAGACCCCAGCGTGCGCACCAAAAGTCGCCTCTTCTCCTGACTTTCTCTTCAGCCATTGGGACCAAGAGAGAGAGAGAGAGCCCCTCCGGCTGGAGGTATCTCCCACCTCCGCTCCCTCCTTTGTTTTTGCGCCTACCTTCAGGAAAGGTGGGCATCTCCACCTCTCTCTCTCTCTCTCTCTCTCTCTCTCTCTTGGTCCCAATGGCTGAGGAGAAAGTCAGGAGAAGAGGTGACTTTTGGTGCACACTCCGGGGTCTTCAGGCACGCCTCCGGACCCAAAGCGGGCCAGGCAAGGGAGCAAGTGCGGCAAGTGTAGTTACTGGGATGTATAGTTCACCTACAATCAAAGAGCATTCTGAACTCCACCAATGATGGAATTGAACCAAATATGGCACACAGAACTCCCACGACGAACAGAAAATATATATCAGTGATTGGTTGGGGGGGGGGGGGCAAAATACTGTTTGCTTACCATTGAAAATTACCTAGGGCCGCCTCTGCTCAAACTTCTCTCATCTTCTAACTATCCTCACTCAAGATGGCTGCTTCCCTGGCTTACACTCCCAAAATGGAGGATTGCCATACTGTTATCAAGGCTTCTTTTCCGGTTTACTAGGTAAGATTCACTACAGCGGAGATGCAGATTCAAATGGTTGATCAGCCTTAAAAATCACTGGTTGTCTCTGGCCCGGTCCTCTTTCTTCCAGCCAAACATATTTCACAGGGTTGTCTATGATGATGAAGTGAGGGGAACATGTATGCGAAGCATAAGTGCTTCTTTTTTGCCCTGTATGATGGTTGGAATTTTTAGTGTAGGTTTCTATCCGTGTGCGTAGGTTTTCTGAAGATTGTGTGGCCCAATTGTTGTTTTGGTTTGTGGATGACTAGCGGCCCTTCCACACAGCCATATAACCCAGAATATCATGGCGGAAAAATCCCACAATATCTGCTTTGAACTGGGTTATCTGAATCCACATGGCCATATATTCCAGTACAAAGCAGAAAATGTGGGGTTTTATTTGGCGGTGTGGTAGGGGTCATAGACATCTAGAAATTGTAGTTTTCCTCCGTTTTCTTTTTCCATGATAATTTTGCATTCTAGCCTTGAGAGCACCTTCTCACCCAGCACTACACTCAGTCCAGTAGTATCTAACTATAGCAGTTTATTTACAAAAGCATACACTCTGAGTCCCCTTCG